TACAAGTAAACATATCGGAGTAAATAGAGAAGCTTTCAACTGCAAAGTCAGAGCTCATTAGTATCTTCCAATTCGCAGTAAATTAATAAGGTTTTTGCTTTTACGGTATTTGCGAAGAGTGACTGTTTGAGACGTCTAGTTCTTTTATTACGATAAAGATAAATAAATAAAGTCTTAGAAACCATTGGAGTAATTTTATTGATGCAAGACTATTACGTGAGAGTAAGCAAGATAGTCTAATCCTTGTTAAACAAGCACGATTTTTTGCGAAAGTTCTTATTGTAAGGCATCCATAATGTGTTTAAGCTTTTCGTAAGTAACTCTATAAAACATTTTCACCTCTGAGCGTGTTCTCTTTCATTGTGGAAAAGCTCCAAAGAAGTTCAGGGACTAAACAAAAGAGTTGTGAAGGACCACGTTGTGTGATGACGACGTTAGCGGGGACCAAGGCCATCTCTTTCTTTCTTCGTGAAACGTAACAATGGCCGTGACACTTGATAAGTTTCGTGATATTTCCAAAGCAAGCCGCTATATAAGGCATTCGAACGAGAAAAAGCCAAGTTCTCTCTTCTCTGTTGAGAAATCTCCTAATTGACTTTGCTTACTGTTCCTCTTTCCAGAAATGCGAAGCCTTTACGTCCTACTTTTGGTAGCTGTCTGTATTGCTACCGTTGCTGCTCAATGGGGAAATGGTCCCTATTACGGAGGAGGAATGCGCGGTGAATATACTTAACTGTGTCTATTTTTCTGATGTAATTTATTTCCTGCAGGACCTTACGGCGGTAGAGGAATGTACGGTAGGCAAGCCTATGGAATGCGTAGCCCGTATGGTGGCGGCATGAACCCTATGCAAGGCGCTATGATGGGAGCTATGATGGGTATGATGAGGGGTTAATGGATCTCTGTATATTCTATTGTCTTTGTACTCGTGTAATAAAATTGTTTAATTGTAAAATTGTTAACAAAGAAAATCGATAAGACACAACATTTAGCCTTTGAAAAGAAAATGTGCACTGAAGAACTTCCTACAATTATTCAACTACCTTCTATATGTCACCCTAAGATCAAAAACACCTTTAGTTAACTTTCATCTAGGTTTGGGATTACTCCTAGAAGCTTTCAAAAGCAAGTAGATTTTGTAAGATCTATTCCATGTATTTATTTTATTTTGAAGAATGCTGATTTTGAATGGTTGAGACATCTACCCTTCAAAAACGCGACAAGAAGCAACATACTGTATTTATCTCTTCTGTTCTTCTACATTTAACATGTTTCTGTGTATTTTTTGTCTATTTCATATGTTTTAATTATCCATTTCGACCCTCCTTTATGACCTTCTTGTT